GAGCCAAAACTAATACCCCACTGAATAAAACTCTTAGCAAACCATTTATATTTACATATATGAGCCAAAATAACAGATTGACCCTTCTTATAAGCACATTGAATAGGGTGAATATTACTGCAATACTTCTTATGCATGAAATTGGACCAAAAAGATTAATTAATATAGAATTTCCACCATATTTAACAGAAAATTATAGTAAATCATGTATTGGATGGATTTACAACCCACCCCACCCTCACTAAAAGGACCAGTATAAGAGCTCCAAGATTTCCAATGAATCCTTATATGATCATAGGATGAACCCCAAAAAAATCTATTAAAAAGCTTATCCAGTTTGTTGTAAATTTCCAATGTAGGAGCAATAGTTTGACATAAGTAAATCATCATATAACAAAGAACACTTTTAATTAAAGAAAGTCTACCAGCCACCTACAATAATTTAAATTCTCAAATAGCAGTCCTATCATGAATTGTTTGTATAACAATTATGCTACAAGTAGGATCACAAATGTTGACACATCACTTTCCATACCATCTCTATCTTCCATGAATACTATTTATAGAAATAGAAGAAACCACCTCAGCCATTTAGTGCAGAAGTATGCAGCTTTCATCACCACACCTTTCTCTAATATCGCTCTCCAATTGTTGAATATATATCTACTCTTCTTCTCTACCATTTCTACTAATATATAAGGACATCCGACAATGAAAGTTTATCAGAGGATGAGCTGAAGATCGACGACGACCATGATTGTAACACTTTATTTTGAGTGTTTAGTTGTATTTTGATTTATTTTTATATATATTTTTTCATTTTTACTATCACTTGAGGGAGTAGGCTTATGTGACCCCAGGGGGGCACTTTTGTCATTTTTCTTATTATTATATTTTGGCTATTTATAGCCCCCTCATATTCTTTTGAGGAGATGGATGATTATTAAGAAAAAAAAATTATGCACTCTTATTCTTAAGAGCTTTGAGAGTTCTTATGAGGGTTGAAGTCCCTAGGTGAGGCAAACGTACTACCCACCAGCTGTAGGAAGCGTCCGGACTCGTGGTTTGAAGTCCTTAGGTGAGGGCAAAGAATTACCCATCAGGAGCAGGAAGCGTCCGGGCTCGTGGTTTATCTTCTCTGCCACTTCCCCTTCTTCATCCTTCCTAGCTGCGAACCCCCCACTCGGTCTTCCCCTCTCACTCCCTTAGTAGAAATTCCCCACCTTAGGCCTAGGCCTAACACCATCCTCCCTTCTCATTCTTGGCCAAATACCCATACCCAAAACCACTCCTCTCCTCCTCCCAACCGCCGATTCAAAACCCCTCCTCTTCCTAGCCACCGGCCCAAACCCTAAAACCCTTCCCCTCCTTCATAGTCGTCGGCCACAATACCTTCTCCTTTGCCTCTAAATTTCAAATCTCCAAATTGATGCTTTCCTAAAATATGATGAGTTATATGAAGAAAGTCCCTCTAATCAAGTCCTTTTAAATTTGAATTTAAAATGGAGAGATAACTTGTATTAAATTCTCTTTCCTAATTTAAATTGACTTAGATTAAAAACTCAATTAAATCCCCCTAATCTCCTCCAATCTTCTTTAATGCATGTGGGCCCCTCCCCTTCCTTCTTGGCCTCCCATTCTCTTTCTCTCTCCTCCCCAATTAAGCCATCAATTCCCCAATTACTTCCACCATTTTGGCTAAAATTAATTATAGAAATGTTGAATTTTCTTCCCTCCCAATTCAAAATCAAAGTTTTCAAATCAAATTTTAAATTCTTTAAAATATAAAATTAATTTCATAAAATAGATGGGTTAAATTAGGAAATGCCCCACCATTCAAATTAATTTAAATTTAAAAATGAGATAATCTAAATCTTCTTTCCTAATTTAAAATATCAAACTTAGAAACCCCTCTTAATCACCCCATTAAATCCCCATCAAGGGGCCGACCCGCCCTTCCTCCCTCCCTTAATTGGAGAAAATTTAAATTCAAACTTTTCCCTCCTCTCTAAACATTTAAATTTGTAATTTAAGTTTAGATTTTGAATTGCTTAATCATGGCTAGCTTAGTTCTACATCACCTAAAACATGTGTTGTATGAAGGTAGTTGAAATACAAGGTTTCTTAATTCTATATTTTACTAATCTCCATATTATGCTTTAGTTCTTCCTCTACTTTTATTATTCTTAACATTATGTTATGTTAATCATTTTATCATGGTATCAGAGTTACTGAAGCAAGGATTATTTTACTTTGTATAGTTGGCATTACAGTAACTTTGTTTGATGTTGAAATGTCTTCTTCTGCCATGTCCTGGTCTATTTCTTCAATTATTAATGTCAGTTTCAACCCCATTACAGAGGTTCAAATACCAGCTTCTCTCAAATTTCTTATAAACAATATTAAAAGCATTGTTCATTCTCATTTAACATATGATAATCACCCCACTTGCAAAGCTCAAGTTACTAAAGTCTTTAAAAGTTCTGATCAATCTACCTCTTTTAATTCATCTTATACTCTATGGATTTTGACCGATCAAAACTTAATAGCTGCGTTATACTCAATTATTTCTCCCCCTCTTCTACCATGTGCACTGTTCCATCTTTGTATAAGAATGTCATACACCACATCATAAAAGATGCAGTCCTTTCTATGTATCTTTCCTTCGTATCGATATATGATCACTTGAACTTATTTATTATAAAATCACACTTGTCATACACAGGGTGGAGATACAGCTTGTTTGTATCAGCCACTCTTAACATGATATATATTAACTTTGTAAAAGTAATAATATAGTATATTATAATCAAATATTTTTTCTTTTATAAATGTTTCTTTATCCATTTTATCTTTTCTATACATGCTTCACCTATTACTAATCATCACAACATGTTTTTTTTATTATTTTAATTTTACTAAGCATAATAAATTTTGAAGAAAAATGAGTCACATATATCCAACATTTTTAACTTCACAAATCTATTAAAATTTGTCAATCTCATCAAATGAGTCATAAAGAAATACATTATTATTGGCATCTCTTCTTGCGACGTATGTGACATAGTTACATTCTTCATAAGTGATCTCATTACTCTCTATATTCTTTGAAGCATATATATTCTTTAAGACAAGATTAAATGTATGAAAATCACAAAAAAAGTATAAAAAATAAGCAAGTATGGACTCTCAATCAGTATTCCTATAGCCTGGTACATTGGTGCATTAGCAAGTATTCCTATAATCACTTATTTGATTTGTTTTGTAATGTAAAACTTATCTTTTTATGCTTCTTCATAGTTGATGACTTTATAAATATAGGACCAAATTGTATAAATCATGAAGTTAATGAGAGGTATTCTTCATTCATTAAATCAACTATCATAGAAATTAGCAACTCCTTTCTCATTGCAAGACACTTTATTAGCCAAACCTTTTCTCAATATTTTCTATTTTCTTTTGAAGCGATGTTGACCTCAAAAGATTATAACTAGGAGGAATATATCTAATAAGGGTGTTATTGGCTACATATGAAAAAGAACTAAAGTAATATGGATTCCTTGCTAAATGAAATAAAATAGCTACTAAATGAAAAATATGATAGATTTCTTCACTCAAATGAACTCTTAACTTGTAAATTAAATGCTCTTTCAATAGTATTGGTGCCCAATATTTTTATATTATATGAATCGCAAATTTTGACTATAAATAGATGTCCACTGGAGTGTTGTTGACCGACATATACTTGTCATAGTCAATGCAAGCAAAGGCGACAACAATTGACGAACGTTGGCGGACATTACATTACTTGAAACAAAAATCAAAGAGCCTCAATAATGAAAAACAACTGTAGCGTCATTCGATAGCGAAATGGACCACAATGATGCATTCAGGACGTTTAATTTAATAAAGAGGAGCCATTTGTGCACAACTCGATAAAAAATGATGACGAGTACCCCAACTACCGGGTGCAGCACTGCACAAAATTGCTCGAACGACTTTGATTTTCAAATAGACAGTGCCAATGTGATTAGGATATCGAATTTTCCTAAGGGACGACCTCTTGCACAAGATTCAAGTGAAGGAAGTCTAAGAAGATATTTGCAAGTATGACGTGTGGCGTTGCCCAAACAACGTTCGTTTCTAAAACAAATTTCGCTATTGCATCTAGAATGTCAAAAAATATTTAGAAATTGTAGTAATATTACCTGAGCTAATATATGAAAAAAGGGTCAAAATTTTCTGATGTATAAGTGGACAACTTGAATTTTGAGATGACTCATGATCTTCTTATATATATATATACACACACCATAATCTCTTATCACCTATCCTCCTCTTCTCAAATAGCAGCCTAAATCCCCTGCCAAAATCCTATATAATGTTTATTATAACAGCCCATTTGAATAAAAAAAATAATATATAATAATAAATCATTCCTCTTCTTCTTGATTTCTACACAACTATTTCCTCTATTCCTTCTCTCTACTCTCATATTCGCCTCCCTCATATCTTCGCTCATACATAATTTTCTGCTAATAAAGATGTGACATGTGTCCTCAAACCAGTAATTTGACCCAATGACTCCATGGATCTGGTTACTCATGCACAATTTCTTGCTAGTAACGTTGTAGAAATAACTTCCTCTGCTTTGTCCTATAGTTACAACATACTTATAAGATGCACAGGTGAAAAAACCTATCAATACACATATTTCGGCTTCATTTGAAACAGCTTTATTACTATTTTTTAAAATAATTTTTATAAAAAAAAATTCATGAACTATAAATTTTTATATTAAAAAACTATTTAAAAAATAGTAAGAATGTTATTCCAAACAAAACCTTCATCAACAAAAGTTAATTCTACCAAAGAAGTACCTCAAATGGGCGGAAATTTTATAAGGATTTCCATATTCAATTTCTTATAAGGAATTCTTTATAATCGTTCTTTTGTGAACTGAGATATATGTTTATAACCCTCTGATATAGACTTCTGCATAAAACATAAATCTCAATATAAGATGATTAATGATATAGGAATTTGTGCGAATAATTCCACCATTTAGTTATCCTCACTGTGTTTATAAATGAAACGAAAATCTAAAGCCAGAAATTTTTTTTGATCCAATGGCAAGAAAAATATACACTTTTCTGACAAACAGGGATAGGACTTACAGTAGTAAGTTCTCTAATCTCACATTAACTATCGGAAATAAATGGAAATCAGTGGTACATCAATGTCATTGTCTTCATCATCCTCACAAGCAACAACGACGTCCAGGTGCCTTCTATATGTTGGTACTTCCACCTTAGCCACTTCTCTCGCTAAATCAACTATTTTCTTCTCCAACCGGTCACCGTGCCTTGTAAACAAGCTATTGTAAAGTAATGAAGTACCACAGGAGATACTATATGCATTGAGTCCCTTATCAGATAGCCACTTTAGAAGTTCACGTAGTGTTAAGTTCCCTTCTATGATCCAACGATCCCACACTGTCCATTTCATATCACGGTGCTTGATTTCCTTGGGAGCAACAGGTTCAGCAATGGAGAACAATGGGAGGGCAAGATTAGCGAAAGTATTCCTGTAATCTTCTCTCTTGTGCGCACCAGAGAGGACTTTGTAAAGTTCAAGACATACAAGGCCAGTAGCCAAGGCTGTGGAGGTAGCAATGGCTGGAATAATTCTTCCAGCAATAAATTTAGCCTTGAGCTTATCAACTTCTGGAATGCTGTAGTTTCTTGCACGCATATTGGCAAGCCCAGCAATAAAATCCATGTGGTAATTTGTGTCATCATCCTGGAGAGATCAGTAAAAAGTTTTCTAAAACAAATATTTGACTTAACAAAGAAATACTAACAAGAAATTTTATCATCTGTGTCATGTTACAAAACAAGCTATGTTGGTGGAGCATTTGATACAGCAGATTGCAACGATACTTAATGTAGCTCCTAGAGGGAAAAATGTTAAAAAGAAAAAAGTGGTTGAAAAATCTACATTGCTAATTACTGATGTTTATGTTAGGATTCAAGTAATAATCAAACAGCCAATAAGTAGTGGGCAACACATAGTAGCGAAGAGAAGATAGAAGAAATATAAGAGGGGCAAAACAAACCTTTTCAAAATGAATAGGGTTCATTTGAAATCCTGGGGGAAGCTTCTTGGCACACGATTCCAATTTAGTAATGAGGTCCTCGATTACATCAGCATCATCAATAGACGCAGCCGTAAGGGTAGTTGCTGTCTCATCCGTTACAATTTTAGCGTCTTTTTTGGGCTCAAAATCAGAAATCACAACGCTGTCAACAACAACAGCTAACAGTTTTGGATTTTTGCCCCAATCAGGCACAGAAATTCCAAATGACTCCGCTCTTAAAATAGAAGCAGCCATGATGAGTTGGAGATGGCCTGGATCACTAGAGGAGAACTGCAATGGACGTGGAAAACGCTTGGGGGCAGACCAGAAGGGTGTACCTGTACTTGTGATAGAGTCCTCAGGGAAAGTAAACGTTAACTGCTTCACTCGATTTGCGAAGTAGTCCTCAAACCTTGAAACACAAAAGCATTCATTAGATGCTTATTTGAAATTACAAGTAAAAGAAAAATGAGAAAATGAACGGCGTGAAATAAATATAGCATTCAACATTCCTAACAAAATGAAGTGTATGAGATTTTTAAGAAAATATTGAGAAGAATTGGAAGAGAAAACAACACAATAAACAAAAATAAATGCTGGAAAACAAAGATAGGGGCTGATTTTTTTATTAATACTTTAACAATAATGAAAGATACTGGTGATTTACTATTCGAGAGGCAGATGTGCTCTTCCAATCAATCTAGATGCCGCTAGAAAGCCATCAAGAAGAAAACTACAACAAATAAACAAAACACCCATAACCCTCATAACAAAATAGCTAGCCTTAAATAAGCTATTCCTATTTCCCTCCCAATTAGCTTTACTGTCTCAATTAATTACCACTTATTTTGAATTCAAATTGGAATTAAAACATCAATTAATTCTCTAATTGTCTTAATTAATTTCCCTCTCATATTTCAATTCAAAATTAGAATTAAGTCCTTCAATTCTAATTAAAACTTCCCTAAATAACTCCCATTTCCTCCTTTGATAATGATCTATAGCTTTGCTGGACCCGACAAAGGGGGGCCAAAATCCCCCTAGTCCTGCTGAGAGTTCCGCCCAACCCAAGGGCTGATTCGGCCCTAGTTGGCTAGCAAGGTTGGACCAACCTTTATACTGCACCCCAAAGACGCACCTTGTCCTTAAGGTGGAAAGATAAGATGCTAGTCATGGTTGGCCACCCCCGGTCGCCCACTCCACTTGCCCGAAATGCCTACCATAATAGTCGGCAACCTCACCACCTCCACCACACAATTCCCTCACTACCATTCCGAAAACACTAATCCACCCTTTATCGAAGCCCTAGGAGGTGGCTCTTGATGTAAGAAACTCTCCTCGTCAAACCCCTTCTATCCAATCTAATTTCCCTTAGATTCGGCCAAGAAAATCCTGATCAAATCTTGGTTAAGGTTAGCAATTGGAATTGTCTAAGGGATTTTGGATCACATCTCCATGAGCTTTCTCATCATCTCCTCAAGAATTTCCTCTCTCTTTGGTTCAACACTAGAAATCGTCAGAGAAGCTTTCGACTGCATCTCAATCATTTTCTTCATCATATCTTCCAAGTTTTGAATGCGGTTATCTATGGATGAGAACCTTCCTTCCATGGATGAAAGCCTTCCTTCCATGGTTGAGAACTTCTCCACCAACCGAGATTTGATTTGTTCCACTTTGCCTTCCAACACATCAACCTTCTTCACCTCCTTAGGTCTAAAAAAAGTGCTATGATACCAATTTGATACAATTTGGGAGTGAAAATAGCACAATAAGCAAGAAGTGCAGGGACACAAAAATAGGGGTTGATTGTTTTATTAATACTTCAACAATAATGAAAGATGCAAGTGATCTACGATTCGAGAGGTAAATCAGCTCTCCCAATCAACCTGGACGCCGTTAGGAAGCCCTCAAGAAGAAATCTACAGCAAACAAATAAAATACCCATAACCCTCATAACAAAATAACTAGCCTTAAATAAGCTCTTCCTATTTCTCTCCCAATTAGCTTTGCTACCTTAATTAATTCTCTCTTATTTTAAATTCAAATTAAAATTAAAATAGCAATTAATTCCCTAATTGTCATAATTAATTTCTACTGAAAGTTCCGCCCAACCCAAGGGCTGATTCGGCACAAGCTGGCTGGCTAGGTTGGACCAACCTCTCTGATCCCCTTCTCCCTCCGTATCTAATAATACAAAATGGACTAATTGATAGATTGCTAAATTAGCAATAGCATTGTGGACTAAAAAAAGACCTACGGCAGTTTCCACTGGTAAGTCATAAAAAATGCGAATAAAAAAAAATTCACTAAAAAAATATTGGAAAAGATTTCATTTCTTCAATATTTTAACTATAACTAATAGATGATACTAACAGGATACTCACTTCAGTCTAGCCCATTTAATACAGTCCTGAAATGTCTCACATCTCTCCTTCTCAAGGCATTCATAAACACGCTCAAGTAGGTCCCTGGCCTGAGCATCAGCTGAACTTCTCATGGACAAACCATATTGAACTGGGTTGGATAAAAAATTGTTAACTTCGCTGGGAGTTTTCTCAAAGAAGCCTTCAAACTCAGAGCGAGCCCAGCTCAAACAATGATCTATGTTGTGGGGGAAAGAATGGACCGTGCACATAGGTGCCTGCTTCTCAGGTGGATCTCTAGATGCCCCATAATTTTCAGTCAAGTGAGGTATGACCATCTGAGTGTTACACTTGGCACCAAGAGTTCCAGATTCCAGAAGTGGCTTTTGGAAATATACACATCGCATATCCATGTACATTCTAGCATTTACATTGTCCAGTGCATTGATGACAACGCTCAAGCTCTCCCAAAAAGCATCATTAAACACATCTTCAGTCTCCGGGCTTGCTCGGTTTTGAAGAGCTTCAACATGTATTGCTGGGTTGATTAAACTAGCTGAAGCAGCAGCTACCGTAGATTTGGCTTGTCCAATATTCCAGTCACGAAATAGGAATTGACGGCTCAGATTACTCTTCTCAATCACATCATCATCTGTTAAAGTCAACTTCCCATTCTGACCGCAACAAACTCCCATTAAAGTCAGATTCTTCAGAAACTCACATCCAAGTGCACCAGAGCCCACCATAAAGACTTTAGCCTCTTCAAGCTTCTTTTGAAGTTTTGATCCAAAAACAGAAATTTGGGCATCATAACGGCAGTTCAAAGGCTTCAAATCATCAGCATCCAATGGTTCCACCGGAAGAGACTCGACTGAGTCAAAGTAGAAAAACTGAAATAAAGTTTTAATGATCACATGTTTGGAACTCAATGCATAGCAAGGAAAAAGGAATAAAGAGTCCTTATAGAAACTTAACTTGAAAAAGTGGATGGAACTTCCCTGAGCAGGCTTTAACAACCTCCTGACCAACGATGCCACCAAACATTGCAGCCAAAGGATTTAAAATTGCTCGTGAACCACTAGCAAAATGCTGCAGAAGCTTATGATCAATCTTTTCCAGCTTACCCTCCCCCAAGTTTAAATTGATATTAGTAACAAAATCTATCAGCCTGTGAGCATCCTCTTCAGAACCAGAAATAGGGAAGCGACCCAAATCACACCTAAATTTTTCCAAAGCTTGGAAAGCCAAATGTAATAAAGGTGAGCGATCATACTTTGAGAAGTCGCTCAGAAGGAAGTCCCCTGGCTCCTTAAGAGCAACTTTCAAGGGTTTAAATTGCAGGACCTTAGGTAGCTTTACCTGTGTTACAATGCCTCCTCTCTCATATCTGCCAAAATTTGTAGTATCCTCCTCAAGGGTAAATGAATACGGTCTTACATTTTTAACTTTTCTTGGCTTACCGTCATTTAGTTCATTCATGCCATCAACTTCAGAGAAAATGACAAGATCCCCATCCTGAAACTCAAGCCTTTCATCATCGATACAGTAAACAGCTGCAGGATTATCATTACTGATGGATGCCACAATACCAGTATGAGGTTCCTCGCCATCAACATCAAACACAGTAAACTCTGGACCAAAGTCACAAAACACACTACCAAAAAGACCTCGGACTTCAGATTTTATGAAGGCAATTGGTGGCTGGTGATTGTGGCAGAACTCATCATATTCGATGGTTTCCTCCAAACTAGCATCTGTAAACACTACAGCCTGCAGAGTAGAACGAACTGTATCAATTCCTGTGTTGAGCACTCTTATATTCTATAAGCAATATTATGATTGTCTTATCAGTCAAAGGTGTGTAACATAAAAATGGGATTGATCCTTAAACTTTGGACAAGTTGTTGTGTACTAATGAAAGAAAATGAAACCAATCACACTTCTATTGGTTTGAAAGAAGTAATTGTCTAGATTACAATATGGTAATGCAGCTACAAGGATATGGCGAGACAATGATGTTTTAACCACAATAATGTTTCAATATGAATATTAAGGAGGTTATGGTAATAAAAACTCAAGCATGGAGAATAAGCCAAATGCTAGATGCTAGATGGGCAAAAATTCTGATATGGATAATGAGTGGCCGTGGTAACTTTACTGAAAAATCTATAATGTTCACTTAGTGATTCAATCTAACTTCTTTCTTTGATACATTTTGGAGATAAAAACAACAAACAAACAATGGAAAACTACAGAAATACTAATATCAATGGCTAATTTTGGATTATAACTTCAATATGAAAAATAAGATACATATTATCTATAATTCGAGAGGTAGATCAGCTCTCCGAAACAATCTAGACGCCACTAGGAGGCCCTACAAAAAAAAGAAAACTACAGCAACTCTCAAATAAAATTCTCCATTCAAAATATAACATAAACCCTACTACTAACAACAAACAATAAACAACTAATACCAAAACAGCCCTCCCCCAATTGCCTCCCATATATGCTCCCTTCACTTATATTATAATTAATCTCCTCCAAATCAGCCCCAAATATGTCCTTTCCAATTAGGAAATATCTCCTAATTATTCCCGTACAAATCAATCCTCTTTAATTAGGAAACATGTCATAATTAATCACCTCCAAATCAGCCCCCAAATCAGCCTTCTTTCCTTATAAATTTCCCTCTCCTATTTGAATTCAAATAGGAGATCATTCCCTAATTAATTCCCTCAATTCTGCTCTAACATAATGAATTATTTCTTTGTTGTGCCCCAAAAAGGGGGGATGAAATCTCCTTGGATTTGGTCCCAGGTTCCACCCCCTCCACTGCCTGCTAAGCCGACTGATCCACCCTCCCTAGTCCTGCAGCCATAAAAATACTTCCCCGAAAGAAGCACATTGTCCTTAAGATGAAAGGATGGGCTAGCCGATTGAGATGTCATAGCAACCTTCATGAGATTATTTCCTCTCATCCATCCTCTCATCCATGTTTGCTCCATAATGGCAGACTCAAGCCCACTCAAGGTTTAAAATTGCGTATTCGGGTATTGAGGCGTTTTTCGCTCGTGAGGCGAGGCGTAAGCCTCAAAATCAAAAAATTGCGTAAACATAAAATAATAAATTTTGTATATACTAATGAGTAAATAATATATAAAACATAAAAATGCACAAGATAAATAACAATGACATTAACATATCACATAAGAAGTTAAGAACTCACTAGTCATCAGCATTATCATGTTGAGCCCACTTAATGAGAGGTAAGGCTTGCTATAGAGGAAAATGTGGACTATGAGAACAACCAACATTAAGCAAACATAGAACCCTACAGTCGTGAAGTAGTAAGAAAGCATGTGGAAGAATTCAAATCGGTGGCCCAAGTGATAGATTTCTCTGCTAAGTATTTGCTCTCCATTGCTAAAGACAACCTTTGCTTCAAACAGGGAGATTTAGTTGAGTCCAACATCACGACTCTTCCTAACCTGAATATACTCATGGTGGCTAATATTTCCTTACCTTAATATCGATTTGAATCTTGCAAATTTATCCTCACTTAGGTTGATTCCATTAGAAGCCTTGCTTATGTCACCTCTAATGGTGTGAAAAACCCTATCAAATACATATGCATGCCTGTATTGGAAGCATACCTTTAGTAGAGTACCCAAAAACCTTTGTCCAATTGTCATAAAACTTGTTTCTTGGTTTGACATGAACCATCCCAATGATGAAATACTTCTTGTGAAAATGTGCCCACTTCACCAAGAATGGTTGGTGGGCACAATCCATGGTCTTCATTAAATTCCTCCAAAAGATTCCTCATTTTCAACGCCTCTTCTAAATAGTTATTCGGGTTCATATCAATTGCTTAAAGAATCTCCCCTATAGTAAAGATAACTGCATGATTTTGATTTTCTGGCTCACCTTGAGCAATCTTTGTTGCTCCAAATAATTTGATGCAATAGATTTCCTGATCAACACCATCAGTTTGTCTTTGCAAGTCTATTTCTTTGCCCTCTTCATTCACCGTTTTTCTTTTGACAATCTATTTATTCTTGGAAGAATCTTGTATATCACTTATTGAACTCTTACTCTTCTTTTCCACAATTATTCACATCTTCAACTTTTCACCCTAGGATCGCCACTGCCCCAATAGCTTCTTCCTCCTCTAGTGTAGCGGTTGTCGTGATCCTGCCATGTTTCCCCTGTGTATCGAGGGTGGGACTCCCACCTTTCTTCCATTCGCTTCACATCACCCAATCGCCATGGCTCAGCCTATCCTCCTCCGATCTTCCATTCTCCTTGCCCAAAAAACCTCCTATAGTGGTCGACTACTCTAGCACCTCCACAATAAAACTCTCTTCCTGCTTTCCCCCCATCTGAAAATCTTATTTCCCCCCTTCTCAGAGCCCTAGGAGGCGCCTCTTGATGAAAGGAGCTCTTTTTGCCGAACCCTTCCATTCGATCTCTTTCTATTTAGATTCAGCCGAGGGAATCCTAATCAAATCTTGATTAGGGTTAGCAATTGGAATCTTAGGTAGAGTTTTGGATCACATCTCCATGAGCTTTCTCATCATCTCCTCCAGAATTTTCTTTCCCTTTGATTTAACCCAAGGAATCGACGGTCAAGCTTTCGACTGCATCTCGATCATTTTCTTCATCATTTCTTCCAAATTCTCAAACATTCCTTCAATCGTTGAAATATGTTCATTCATCGATCCCACATCCGCTTGTAGTTGCCCTACTTCCCCTTCCAACTTTTCTTTCAATGCGTCAACTCTTCTTCTGTCCATTGGTACACGAATCAAGACTTTAATAGCAAACATAGGCAACTTTGATGCGAATCTGACCTCCAAACAACAAAATTCAACAAATGGTGAGAAAAAATTCAACAGAATAAGTGATGAAAGCTTGATAGTTCGGTTCAGGACACCACTTTGATACAAATTTTGTACGCCTTGGAAATAAAAACAACAAACAAACAATGGAAAACTATAGAAATAATAATATCAATGGTTGATTTTGGATTATAACTTCAATACGAAAAATAAAATACATGTAATCTACAATTCGAGAGGTAGATCAGCTCTCCCAAATAACCTAGGTGAGCCCCCCTGATTGTTTGGGTGATCTACAATTTGAGAGATAGATCAGCTCTCCCAATCAACTTAGACGCTGTTACGAAGCCCTCAAAGAAAAGAACTATAGCAAAATCAAACTCAATCATAGCATAATCCAAAAATCCTAGACAACTTGCCCTTAAATAGTTCTAGAACACAATAACATAAATAGAATCTTCATAAACAAATTTAAATATAATTTAGAAAATCTTCCTAAGAAATTAAATATAATTTAGGAAACATTCCTAAACAATTAAAGATGTTTTAGGAAACATTCCTAAACAATTAAACAACTAATCTTTCATTCCTCACATAATAAATAATAGATTTCCTAGGTCCCATAAGATGGCCCCCCATGATGTATCAATACTCCCCTCCCAAATAGCCACCTTATTATTGGGTGGAATGAAGGAAACCTCTGCTAAAGAATATTTTTCCAGTTGCAAAAGAAAAAGGGTGAGTAGTTATAATCTTGGAATGCATTTCCTTGTTAAATCCACGTAAAACAACTATAGCATGTTTGCTGCTTAAAATTCTATCAAAAGTTTGTTTATGTGAAACAATATATACAATTTTCTTTTCATTTCTCTTTTGTGAAGAATCTCTAAAAACTAGTGTCCGCATAACAGTTATTGACTTGGTTTTGAGTTTTGAATTAAGAAAATCTCCAACGGAAGAATGTTCCATTATCTCTGAAGAAAAAGCATTGCCCTTAAATCCCTCAAAGAATTGGATAACTTTCTTTTGTTATGCACTCAAGTTATCTACCAAGACTTTATATAAAATTGAAAAATAAAAAGAATCAGTTGGTATATAATTTTAAGTTTTCTCTGAGGTCACTTCATTATCTTGGCTTATGATGTCTTGATGCTTGCAGTCTTCAATACCATCTTTATTTTCTTTAGGGAGATTTGCAAGTGAATCAAGTTACGCTAATGTAGTTTTACCATCAACATCCAAGGATACTTCATTTGAATCTTTCTTTACACCAGGACCAACAGTCTTTATCATTTCATCCCCATCAATCTTGCTTAGTACAACTGTGATCTTCTCTCAGCATATCATTTTTATGATTCCCCCGTGCTTTCGACAGAGCCACCTTAGCTTGATTCTTTAACATCTGTTTCATCATCTCCTCGAGATTTCCAAACCTTCCTTTAATTGCTGAAAGATGCTCATTTAACTATCTCATATCCATTCACAGCTACCCTACTTCCCTCTCAAACCTTTCTTCCAACGCCTCAACTCTTTTCCCGACCATCGGCCGCAAGAAATTGCTCTGATACCAATTTGATATGTCTTGGTATCCAAAACAGCAAAATACTTCAAGAAAATTCAACACAAAATATATTTTTATTAATAGAAAATCAAACACGAAGAAAGCAGCATACAATGGTGATCTACAATTCGAGAGGTAGATCGGTTCTCCTAATCAACCTAGATGCTGCTAAGAAGCTGTCAAAAAAAAAAAAAAGAATTACAAAAAAAACCAAAACTCAGTCATAGCATGATCCTAAAACCCTAAAGAAATCCCTCTTAAATAGCCCTAAAATAAAATAACATAAATAGAACCTTCATAAACAATTTAAATATAATTTAGGAATCTCAATGTATCATCCTCATTTTCATGATTTTTCTTGAGGCTTCTTCCCCCCATTGCCAACCCTAAATCAATCCCACCATGCAAAGCCCACAAAATGCAATCAGTTTATCCTGATCAATTCAACTCAATAATCGGATTCCAATAGAATGAAACTACTGAAAACCATTTGCATAATATTGGTAAAAATGAAATCAGGTAAAGCCATCCGCAACCCAAATTCACCCTTACTTTGGGCTAACTGAGCGTAAAAACTTCAAAAACTCAGAACATTCAAAATAGTAGTTGAGATAATCTCCATGTGCCATATTGCAAATTTGCAATCCATGACATACATAGCAACATGGCAAAAGCGTGTGATTCCCGCATTGATCGATTGAAATAAATTGAGAGACACACTCCAAGAGATGAAAGAATGAAGATGATGGATCTGAGTTATTTCTTGAGTAATGTTTTTAGTATGGAAAAATGCCATCCTTGACATCATACATAGAGCACAATAAGAGGCTTGAAAAGGAACCTTTTAACTATTTGGGAGACTATTTTCCTAGCCAACTAGGTGTTTGTTTTCAAATGTAACCATATCATAGATTAAACTTCGTTACTTCAGAAATAGGATCCTCAACATCACAGAGATTAATTGTTTGGAAGCCTATTGCTCATCATGGATGGCAGTCTTAGTTAAGAAATAATCAACTTAAGAGAAGAGATGGAATCACCCATTCTAGTTATTTCTTGACTGATATTGAGCGCAGCTGCAATTGCTTGCCCAGAGCTTTGCCCGGTTATTGCCAAGCTCACTATATGAGGATTATACATATGGAATTCCAACTTGGACGATATGCTGCCATAGCCAGACAGATCAATCATGAACCTTGGACGCGTTGTCATAGAATATGGTGAACCAAATTAGGGCCTATGCATTGGTATCAAAGTGTTTGTCATATAAACGATATTGAAAGCGATAACACAGAAAACTCCAAATCAATCATATTAATGTGGCATGCTTACATAAAATTGGTTTAATTAAGATTAGGTTGCCAAAAGATTATCCTATTCTCCCAAACGATCATAAGCAGGCGAAAGATTGATAACAAAACGTCCATAGCTAGAGTGCATAGACATGTGCTAATAAAAAACAAACCTGGAATTTTGATAGATGCTCCTTTGACAACTTGTCTGTTATTGTCGATATCATGACATTATTATTGAGATCATGCAACTTCTGCACACAAGCAAGAGCTCTATTTTTACCAATATCATCCTCTGAGAAAAAGAAGTTGCTAGACAAGTCCCATATTTCTACATCCGCTTCATCATGCAAGGTAACAGACTTTACTCCTGCAAGGACGATATTTTTTGCTGCAAAAACAACAAGCACTTCAGATCTTATTCCCCCAAATATAAGCATCAAGATAAATTTAATTCGTGCAATTAAACAAGTGAATGGTCAACTACACAGGCAAATTACTAAACCTAAACAAAGCCAAAAACAGTTTGTAACATTTTCAACTTTGTTAACATAGCATATTGTGTAATTACAACCCAAGTTACATTAAATCAATATCTTCAGACTTGTTTAAATCATATCAACCTTATGTCAATTAAGTTAGAATTGTGTTTTGAGAAAATAGAACTTCAGCTTTATGCCACAAAATTGAAAAAGCAAAGTGGCATATAATTGGAGAGCCAACTGTGAAAGTTTAATTAGGAGGATTCAACTTCCACACTCATGCAGCCCCCAGAAACATACACAACCGAGAGGTGCAATTTTTAAGCAAACAAGTAACACTAATAAGTTCAAGCTCATTTCATTAATCGGAGAGTGTTCTGACGTTTTGAGAGTCATGGTTTAGTAAAGTGTTGATATTATGCCTCTTTTCACAAAGCAGCCACATTATAATTGTCATTTAGTTTAGAAATACGCAATGCAATTTAAAACCGCACGTGCACCAATTCCACAAATTCATCATCATGGAAGACACGCTATTAAGTAATTAGTTCATTTGCGAGTGTTTTAGCAACTTTATGATATTAACACAACAAATGCAAGCAAAGCTGAACAGCATCTCGGGTCTCCCATATTGGCATATCTCTTTTCATTCTCTCTTTCCTGTACTCAATGGTCTTACAGCTTGTGCTCCTTTCCAAGATCTCTATCTCCCTGCAAGAGTAGATATTCTGCCACATAAATACTCTACAAGTCTCTACTAATTTTTTTAAGCTAATAGGTCATCTTCTTGACATCAAGATAACTCCAACCAGTGAAAGTTGTTTCTCTTTTAAAGTAAGCTCACTTGCTGGATTTGCATGCTATTTCAAGACAACTGATTGCAAATTCATGTCCGTTGAGTGTGAAAAATGACTATGGTGCAAGTGCCACAAAAAGGTAATGTTTCAATTTCAAAATAAATAATGTTTTGAACTCAAAACTAACAATTGAACCGGTTTGGCTATTGGATCATCCATTGATTAGTTTGACCTGTCAAACTGATACAATTAGAATCAATCCAGTGAACCAACCTTATGAAAAATGACATCAGAATTCAAATACTTTTGAAGTCCCTTTATAGATATAATCATGAAAGCCATACAAGTAACTTCAATGAATTAATACTAAGTCTAAAAATCTAGATATGGCAAAAGTAACAATAAAAATTAATCAAATTATACTTGCAAGTTATGAATTAATAGATTTATTATTATGATTTCTAATTTAATTATTTCTAGTTAGCCTATTCTTCATCATGACTAAGTTAGACAACCTCAATCGGATTACTCTGATTCAGTAGTTCTGACTTGCTTTAGTTGTTTCAACAAGCATTCTTAAAATTTAGTTCAAGCGGACCAGCCAAACAATCTGTTCAAGCGGTTAAATTAAGTGGGTTGGGTTAGGTTGGGTAAGGTTACAAACATTGTAAATAATTTCAAAATTAGAATGGCAACTTCTCCATTCTTGAGTCTAGATGCAATGTTTTAAGGGGCTCACTCTCTTTCATTGGCCACATGAATTTTGGACACAAAAATTAAAAAAGCACAATTTTATGTGTGGATTTATTTGGGGGCGTAGAATTACTAATAAAGAAAGAAATGACTATGAAGCATCCAGCTAAATCCCTTAGTTATAAAGTTATGAATGTGTTAGAAATACTTGAAGATCTCAAGTAAACCCTAAAAGGAGAAGTAAAAACAGCGAGAACGATCCACAAATCCAATGAAAAGAACAAAAAAAAAAGTAGTTTTTATTGCAATAATCAAACTAACGGAAGAAAATAGCAAGAAACAATTGATCCTCAATTTGAGAGGAGAATCCATCTCTCCCAATCCCTAGACGCCGCTAGAGCCCAAGTCAACAAACTCCAAGAACAAAATCAACCACAATAATTTGTATACCTCTAACCCTAATACTCTCTTCATATTTAAAGCAAAAAATTAAAAAAAAAATTAAACAACAAATACTCAAACAGCCCTCCCCTAATATTCTCCTATTTCCTTAATTATTTCCCTCTCAAATCACCACTCAAATCATCCAATAAATCTGCCCTCTTCGATTAGGAAACATTTCATAATTAAACCCCCCCAAATCAGCCCCTAAATATGTCCTCTTCAATTAAAAAATATTTCCTAATTAATCCCCTCTAAATCAGCCCAATATATGCTCTCTTCAATTAGGAAACATAATTTAATTAATTCTTTTTTATTAAGAACCTTCCTGAACAACTCCCTCTTGATTATGAAATTTTCTAATTCTCTTCCAATAAAATTTGGTCGGTCCATCAATAAAGGAAATTGTTGTTGAAAGCCCTTGAGTAATACCAATGAACTAAAAAATGGAGTGACACTGGGTAGAATGATCCCTGACTCCAGCATCTTCCTGATCAATCTCTCGATTGCATCCTTCTGGATTTGAGGATAACAATACGGATAAACACTGATAGGTTAGACTATTTCCTTCAAGATGATAGCATGCTCGTGTTCCTGCAGAGTTGTCAATCCTTCAGGTGGCTGAAAAACCTTACTAAATTGCTGAATCAAAGGATGCACTAAAAGAAGAATGTCCCCTCCTCCAATCTAATCCTCTCCAGCCCGTGTAGTCCCACCAGATAACTTTCTCCCACTTCCTATATGCTCCTCATCATGATTTTAAGTGATACCATGGCTTTCAAGAGCCCAGCATCTCCTCTTATCACTAATCTTCTCTCTTCCACCACCAGCTCCATCATTAATGCCCCTAGTTGTCCTTGGTGTCTCTCAAGGTTTCCAGCCACTTCATCCTCAGGATGACATCAATGATCCCTAACTCTAATGAGAGAAAATACTCCCTCACCTGAACCCCCTGTATGGTCAAAACTAATCCTCTACAAATCTCCTGGCCCGTCTCCACCTTCCATATACCCATCATCACTCCATAACATTCTGTATCCACCAATTTGGAAATGGGCCAAGCCCAATAAGGAAATATAAGCCCATAAATAAATGCCCACTTAGCCAAAAGGAAGCAAGCAAATAAAATCATCATGAGTGAAAAAACTATATGAGGGAAATTACCTAAGAGTACCAACCTAGCATGTTTATTGGTTGTCTTCCATCATAGGATATATAAAATAATCGAAAATTACATAATATTCAAAAGGTAAGAAATACAAAATACAAAATAGAAACCATTGATTGCATCAGTTCTCTCCTGGTGAAAAAATCTCATCTCCTAATGATCTCCTAATGAGAATGCCTCACTAATACGTTGATAGATATCAAGATGACGAGTTTGTAATTCCTCTGCTTCAAACCAAGTGCAGTCAGTCAAAGAACACCCACTCTATTTAACCAGGATCCGCCTGTGCACTTCACGCCTTGTCTGGGTAGTTCTAATGCCCAAAACATCTTCAATATGATCATCTTTGATCTGAGCTGAAAAGGTAAGGAGCAAGTTCTCTAGATCAACTGAATCAGTTGATTCTCCTTCATAGGTAGTAAAGTCAGCAACTTTAAACACAGGTGAAGTTCCAACAGAAAATGGAAGATCCAACAGATAAGCATTTGTTCCTATTCTTCGAAGTATCCAGAAAAAGCCAAATCTTTTCGACTTAGTTTATCAAAAGTACCAATGGGAAAGCGTTGTCGTCAAAAATAGGCCATAAATAAATCTCCCCCTTGAAAATAACACTTTCTCTAGTGTTTCTCGGCATCAGTTTTGTATTTAGGATTTGCCATATGAAGTTTTTCTAGGACCTAACTTTGAACTGGTTGAATATGATCAACAATTTCTATAGCTTCGACACTGATTCTATTAGGCATGGGTAATAAAGTTCGATCTAAAATGTGGGGAATTGGTTGACCATAAATAATGTCAAAAGGAATTTTTCCAGTAGATAGATTGATGGAATTGTTATAAGCAAATTCAGCTTGAGGTAAAATCAAATCCCATTGAGAAGGTCTCTTTCCACCATGAAGTTCTTGGATGAGTTTTTCACGTAAGGAGCTTTAGGTAATAAAAAACCTAGTCCCCCTTAAACATAAATCCTTGTTGGATGGTAAATTGAGCATAAGGGTCAGTTCTAGAAGTACAACATGATTCCGAAATATTTTAAAATCTGAGTTAGTGGCATAGCTATCTTTTAAGAAACCAAGAGAAATCACAGATGGGTGGATCGTTAAAAGCAAATGGACTTTTCTGCTTAAGCCATAAAGGACTCTATTCAAAAGTTCCAGTTTTTTGTCTAAGATGAAATGTGTATTCTTTTAAAAAAGATGACAACTTAGCATGTCTTCAATTCAAATTTTTCTGAGATCTTAAGTATTGTAGTGCTTCATGATCAGAATTTAGCACAAATTCTCTTTGAATAAGATAATGTCTCCAAAATTTTAGGGCTTGAACAATCGCATAGAACTCAACATCGTATGTTAAATATCAGGATCGAGTATCATTAAGTTTTTCGCTAAAGAAAACAACAGGTCGACCCTCTTGACTAAGGACAGCTCCTATGCCTACATGAGAAGCATCAAAGTCTACTTCAAACATCTTGTCAAAATAATGTAACCTAAGGACAGGTACTTGGCTCATTTTTGTCTTAATCTAATGAAATGATTTTCAACTTCAGGGGTCCACCTACAAGTTTCCTTTTTAAGACAGTCAATGATGGGTGAAATCAAAGTACATAAATTTTTCATGAATCTTCAGTAAAAAGAGGCTAATCCATGAAATGCCCTCACTTCACTAATTGTTTTCGGAGTTGGCCAGCTCTGGATTATTTCAACTTTAATGGGGTCCACTTTAATACCATCATCAGAGAGAATATATTCAAGGAAAGTCAAATTAGGAGTCATGAAAGAGCACTTTTTTAAGTTGATGTATAAGCATTATT